CACCCTGAGCTTCAGAGCTAACTTGACACTAACCTCTTCACTGTAGCCTATCTCCATCGTGTCAAGTAACCTCTGACGAAAATAGTTTGACCTAGTTTATATAAGCCAATCAAATCCATGTTTCAAAATTTTTCACCAAAGTTTGGTGAAAACGCTGATTGGTTGACCGTCAATCGGCAATCCTCGGCTGATTCCGCAAGCTCCTTACTAACAACATAGTTCTTGTCGAGTGCGGAGACATCCGAGTAGTTCCGAGTGTATTACCGTACACAAAGAAAGCAAGGCGAGTGACTACGATAAAGAATGTGTTAAGTTATCTCTTGATTCTTTGCAAAATATGAGTAAATCGGAATTGAAACCATAGGGTCTAGCAGTTTGAGGCCCTGCATCATTATCTACTGAGAGACGATGTTATTTGCGTGCTGCCCACAGGTTACGGCAAGTCCCTGATATTCAGCCTTATCTTTGATTGGTCCGGATTTGAACAAAGCGCGCTTTGACTCGTTCGCGTTCATTGGCTAGATCGTTTAGTGAGTCATTGAGTGCGGGCTTTTAAATTTGATTGGCGGGCGGCGGAGGCAATCGAATCTGGTCAGAGGTTACTTGACACGATGGAGATAGGCTGTAGTGAAAAGGTTAGTGTCAAGTTAGCTCTGAAGCTCAGGGTGATTATAACGCATCCAGGCGAGAAGTGTGGTTACACGAGTTACACCACGTCTGAGTCTTTTGTTCTTTACTTCGACCGTGGTCTAGTGCAGTTGCCGTACAACTTTCGTTCGGCTTCCGTGAACATTGATAAAGGCTCAGTCACAAATGTCGGCGATCTGTCGGGGATTAGTTTTGGCCGGGGGTCGTCGTAGAAAATAAAGAATCCTTGAACAATCCTAGCAATAATCCTAATAAAAGTGGAGCAGTCACATTGTCTGAGATTTTTTCAAGGATTTTGACCCGGTTTTGTCGAAAAATCATGGGATTAGCCTCCGATTGCATCGGAGGCGATCGGAGACGATATCTGCGTGTGTCTTTTCTTGTAATTTTTTCCCCCTGGGTATATGTGACTATATATTGCAACTAGTCTCAGATTATTCGGAGGACGCCTCCTATTAATCGGAGGTCATCGTAGGTCATTGGAGATTGTGTCTGGGATGCCCAAAATGGGTGAAAAATCTTGCGAGCAATCTAAAAATTTTAAGTTCATGGTTGGGGACCGCGACGGGTGTGGCGATGTCTAAAAAATCTGCGACAACCCGCAGGCGTCCGGAGAGCGCCTCCGACGGGTGCAAAATCGTGAGATCTGTCTCAAGATTTTGTTCAAATTTCCCGGGTTTTACCCATCCCCGACACATCGCAACTGATTTGTGACTGAGCCTTAAGTAGTTAGCACAGTCCCTACGGCTGTTATCCTTCACCTTCAAAAGTTACACGATGGACGTGCTCTTCACGAACGAAATCCCACGTTTTCCCCAATTTTTTGGCCGTATACCAGACGTAGAATCCCGTGCGTTGGGTTGGGACCCAGGCTTTAATCTACGTTATGCCTTCTTACACCACCAAAGGTGCAAGGGGAAACAAAACAACAACAACGAGTTCAGCCATTATCACAATCCAGCGAGAAATGTCCGTACTAGAACTGTACAATACCATCTACGGTATTGCTACGACCCATTGACACATTATTTTTAAAATTGTAATAAAAATAAAATAAAATAAAATAAAATAAAATAAAATAAAATAAAATAAACAAATAAATAAAATAAATAAACAAATACATAAATTAATAAAGGCCGTGGTTTCGTACGGCCAACTCCTGCGTCCGCACAAACGCTGCGCGCGGGGGTAAATACGGGCAATGTAGGTGTGGGGTAAACAGAAGAGGGTTTGCAATAAAAATCAAAATCAATCCCGTCAGTATTCTTTGCTGTCAGCGGAAATCAGCGATGTACATATAATATTGGGCAATTTAATAAAATAAAGAATTGCAATTTGTCTGAATGTAAATGTCGCATAATTACAGGGGCATAAAGTTTCAAATTTAAAACAAGGAACGGTGGCACAGATAATAAAAACACATCGTCCTTAAAATGGGAGACCTTTATCGTAATTTTTGGACCTGTCTTTTGAAAGAGTATCCTTGTCAAGCAAATATACTTGCTGTTTTTTTAATTTAAACACAGACATTTCGTTATCATACCAGCTATCCTATATCTTCAATTCTGAACAACACAGACAGTTGAGACTGTCAGTAAAGTGATATTAGATTACTCTCAGATGTGATGGTTAAATGCTCAAAGAACCATGACAACTTCACCTTGCATTTGGGCTCATTTAACAAGCTATATTTATATTGACAGATGAAAACGTTTTTTATAGCAGTAAACAAATATGATGTCGTATATGTGTATATGTGCAGATGTGTAAAACAAAACAAAACAAAACAAAAAAGACCTCAAGCGTCCAACGTCTCTTGGGTCAGTCAAAAATTGAAAAAAAAAATTGCTTTGCGTCATGGTGCACACGTGTATAAAGTTTTGGTTAAACATAGTGTGCAGTGGTTGTCACTGTTATTTTGAAGGGGAACAGCGATTCTGGAGTTCAAATTTTGAATTTTATTTTAATGTTTATCGTTTCTCGACAAAGAACTTTTCTTTCCAGTGTATTTACCAAGTGTTTTGTGTTTTTGCTTGCTTTCTTGAAGCTAATTTACCCGTGAAAAAAGCTGTAGTGCTTATACATTGAATTGTCATAAGCTGTGTCTGTAACTGTGCCTATATGCAATGCAAGGTCAAAATATATGTTTCTTATGTGCTTACATATCTAAAGGTAAGAGATGTTTTAAGCACGATAACAATTGTGTGAACATGTGTGAAATAGATGTGTGTGTGTGTGTGTGTGTGTGTGTGTGTGAAGGTTAAGTGCATTTGTGCCTTTTGTGTCTAATTTTTCGTAAGACTTTTGAAACTTTTTGAAAAAAAGACAAAAATTGCTTTTAACGCAAGAAACAAACCTTGTATGTGTATTTTTTTCGAAACACAGAATCAGCTTATATAATTTTAATTAAAATGCTTTTCATCTTATTTAACTTTTAGGGATTTTTTTCTTTCAGGCCACTATTGGACCGGTTGGTATGATCGAGACAATCCTAGTGGTAAAGGGGATTATGAAAATCTGTCTGAACAAAAGGTGAGAAAAATAATTGATTTAGGTCGTTCGATTAGATAAAGGCTGATATGAAAAAAATGAGAGAGAGAGAGAGAGAGAGAGAGAGAAATGGCCAGAAGGCAAAGGTAAGTTTTTTTTTTGCAACGAGGCAAATGGTTCGAAAAAATGCATAAATGAAGACGAAACATCTGTCACTATCATTCAGAAACTTGGTTACGTCTGTGGCGGATGCAAACCCATCGCCGTAGAATGTCGCGTGAAGTGCACAACCATAACGTTCACGCGGTGGTCTGGTTCAGCTCCAGATATATTGGAGAGCGGCTCACTTTTTTACCCTCAAAAGGTCTGGTATGTGTCAACTCCAAGCAAACCAACGGGCTCTGCAATGACTATGAGATAAGATACTTATGCCCAAGTACAAGTGAGTGCTACATGCATTGAGAGCATTGTACGTGTCGCTCTTTTAGATGTGTTTGTGCTGTACTGAACTGAAAAACAAGCAATTTAACTATTCTAAATTTTCCGCAGCAGTATATGTATTCGTTATCTCTTATTTTTACTTGATGTACCATTGTTATCACTGGATATTGTATATTTTCATTGTTCTTCTCAAACTCCTCTTATTTAGGAGGTACATGGACAAATTTCTTGGATAAAGACAACCCGAGCGGGACCGGTGACTATGAGGACTTTGCAACTCACAAGGTAAGGCTACCTACGCTGTGACTATACGTGCCCTTAATATACATGTAGTTGGACATTTGTATATTAACATTTTTACCTCTGCCAAGGTTATGTTTTCACCCCTGTTTGTTACCTCCCTCAAGGAAGTTATGTTTTCACCCATGTTTGTCTGTTTATTTTTCTGTCATCAACACAACTCAATAAGTTATGGACCGATTTTTGTTTGTTTATGAATCTGTCTGTCTGTCATCAACATAACTCAAAAGGATATGGATCGATTCTGATGAACTATTCAGGAACTGCCAGAAGTGGGTAACCTGAGTGTCAGAGCAACGTAAAATCTAGCTTGTTAAATATCAAAATATACCTTGTGATGGAGTCGCTTTTACTAGCTCTGACGAACAGCGGCCATGTTAGATTTCCATCAATCAAATAGATTTACTCACATAATTATTTATTTATATTATAATGATATTATATTTTTTATATTATTGACGGTCATCTTGGATTTTGAAAATTGATCAATGTGCCGCATGTAGCCACTGCCAAGAGAGTCCAAATTTAATTGGCTTTTATACCCCCAAAGTATTAAATTCTTTTAAAAATTTCAGGGAATAACATTCTAAGTATTTGACTATGGGACCCGGGGAAGTAGCAAACAGACTCTTGGGGGGTGGGGGGGGGGGGGGAGGTTATTGAACTGTCAGATAATCTTATTCCAAGAGTTTAGGGTCATGACTAACAAAATATTATAATTAACATAAATATGAAAAGGGAATATGGTTTTAATAAAGCTAAATATGCAAAAAACAAACTGGTTCTGCAGCTTTCTATCTTTTTCTGCCTTATGTTTTGACGGCCATTTTGGCTTTTTGCTAAGTGGTACTAAGTGGTAAGCTTATTCACTAGTACTGTTGTGCTCTCCTGATAGGATACAAGTTCAAAAAGCTGTTTACCCGGCGACTTCTGGTCATTTTTCTATTTTTCCTCATAAATTGACGGCCATTTTGAAAAAAAAATTAAAAAACAACAACCAAGCTAATTTTGTTTCTCTCGGCCTGAAGAATGCATTTCAGCAAAAAAAGGTTACAGAAAAGAACATTGCAGGGTTCGACTATTAGGCCTATGGGGTTGGCGACTCGACTATGTTTGCTTGCCCGATGTTTATATCCAAAGATTCATTGATTTGCCTGAAAGTAATATTTGCCTGAAAATTATCCAAGCCGAAAACGTCCGTGTAAATTTCTCTTTGAACTTGAAATACTTTATTACCACTAAAGCATCGGATCAATGAGCCTCTAAACAATGAGCCTGCGTGTACTCTCCAAAATGTGTCGCCCCTACTGCAATGTGTAAAATGAAACAGAAAAGAACCGATTTTAATAGCCATCTTATATTGCTCTCGGTTTTCAGACATTAAATAAACGTAATCTTTGCAATGGAGGTCGTCCGATGTGCGCCCGGTGCCGCGATAGATGGAGCTTATACCACTATTACGCAACAGGAGACAAGTACAACACCAACTATGACTGTAGCTGGGAGAATGGCTTGGTCTGTACTACAGCAGTCAACGGGAAGTACTGCAAGGACTACGAGGTGCAGTTCAAGTGCCCAACCATTGGTATGTAGACTTACACACCGTCGAGTGTGGACCGGATACACTGACACAAAAAATAGACTCAACCGATTCCTCAAAAATACTCCAGGCTTCTTGAGCCCCCCCCCCTCTCCCCTCAAATTATCAAGATCATCAACAGCACAAGACTCATTTCATTCCTTTTGAGCATTAATGCTCTTCCGTTGAATCTTAGTCCTTTGAAAACTTGACCAGAAAGACTCAAATGGCCCAGTTAAAATCTCTGTCACTATGTTCTACTCTCGTTATACGTCCTTTGTTCTACTGTACATTATTTCAGAGAGGGATTAAAAGTCTTCCGTACTGTATCGAATAACAATCACAATCGTCAATGATCAACAAAAATTGAGACATTTTGATAAATTGTTCTGTCTTTATCATGCAATTGTGAATTGTCTTAACTTAATTGTATAAATGGCATTTTAATAAATGTGTTTGCAAGAAAAGCTAGCACAGGTTTTTTGTATATGGATTACATTGAATAGTACTTCACGGTCATCTGTTCATTTACAATTGGAAATGCACCCTGGTGAGCGATTCCCATGCCCCCATATACTGTATATTGATATTTTTTAAATCCCAGTAAACTTTTCCAAAACGTATTTTGGAAACTGTGAATACTTTTGCAAAACATTTTCATAACATTTTAGCAACGTTAATGTGCTTGGTGGGTAGGCAGAGTAAGTCAAATTCAAATCATCATTATCGATACATTTTTTATTGATCTTCTAAGTAGAACTATATGGCTCCTTACTAATATGAGTCCCATTTTGAGGCTTTTAACAGCCTCTTCCCGAGTCCAAAAAGAGAGTAGAAACCTCTCCTTGAGTACGCAGAGAGATCAATGTCTTCAGAGTCCATATGTGCCTCAATTTCCTGGAGTCCCTGGTTTTACTTGACTTCCCAAGAGACTCAGCTAGATGGATTTCCTTTTTGGTTGTAGACTCAGATGAGTCGCTGCCGGGGGAGTCAGATTTTTCATTATGAAAATCTGAATGGGGAGTCAGATTGTCATAATGAAAATCTGACTGGGGAGTCACATTTTAGGGGAGTCAGATTTTCATGGTACACCGGAACATCTTTCTCGTGTCGACAGTTTTTTACTTATTTTTTTTTTACTCTTTGTGGTGAGGAGAAATTGTTTTCTAGGTTTTTGTTTTCTGTGTGTGGGTACCTGGATGAGGGGGGTAAGTGTGAAAGGAACGCACAGAACTCACAAAGTCAAAAAACCCGTCCACACACGCATGCACCTAGAAAATATTTCATTGTCTAATAGTCGTGTTTTATTCATATAAAAATAAATTGTTGTTCAAATTATATCGCGGGATAATCAAATTCAGTCAACTCCCTATATTTGAGACTACTAGTAGTCTCTGTTGGTCATTTTTCTTTTTACTACTGCTTTCAATTTCTTATAAACACAAATAAGCAATTGAATACTCATGCAAGTGCGTGCAATTATACTTTAATACTATATATCACAGGCACCTGTCCTTCATGCGCAAAATGGACTCGGTGGATAAATAGAGACCGCCCCGGCGGTACCGGAGACTTTGAGCATGTGGGGCATTTAGGAGTTAATCCGGTAATCCTAACTTGAATGTCTTCTTATTTACTTTTAAAATGCTATAATTATATTTTAATGCTATAATTTTTCTTGCGGTGCCATAATGGTTTACATGTCCTACTTCATTTATTACACATTAAGCCATTTACAGGTGTACATGTGTGTTAATGCAATAACAAGTGCCAACAGCGCTATTTCAAGCTATAGGATTGCTAAAGGACGTTCGCATATTTAGAAATTAGCTATATGCATTTAAAATGGTTATAAAAACCTTTCTTTTCCATTTTTGGTCAAGTCCTAGATACACGTTAGCCATTATTAGCGCTCTCTGTATATGCTATCCCAATCTTGACCCTCCCCCCCCCTTTGTACTACGCCAGTAGGAACATTTTAAATACAGTAAAACCTGAGAAATTTAATTTTGCATTGTCATTATACTTATTGATTCATTTCATTAGAATCAAGTATGGCATTGTTGAATTAGGAATATTTTTGCCAATTGAATACTTGTGTCTCGGTCTGTTAATAGTCTAGCTTTCACTGCCATCAAGGTTTGACAGCGTGTCTCTATACCATAATATGAGCAGAAATATGGTAATGAGCAAAGCATTTTTCTTAAGATCTCTAAATTGACAGTAACTTGGTTGCAAGAAATAGCTTTACGTGGTAACAAGTGTCTTCTTTTTTCAAGTGCTCCGGTCATGAACCAATTGATATCCAATGTCGCGTCAGAGGAACCAATCAGCCGTGGGATCAGGCGGGTCAAGTAATCAGAGACAAGTGCGATCCCTTGTTAGGGTTTGTCTGCATCAATAGTCAGCAACCGAGAGGGCAGTATTGCAAAGATTACGAAGTTCGTTTTCTTTGTCCATAATTTGACTCACTGTCATATATTCAGACAGCAAATTACGAGGAAGAAGTGCCACAGGGAATTTACTGTTGAATGACATGTAACAAAACTTTAAAATAACCGAAACTTTGTATGAGACCGGCTTCATGAAATGCACCTTTTTGTAAACTGACTTTGATTTAAATTACGTAGCAGTTGCCATTTTGAAAACTGTTGAAATTAACAAAAATACACTTTACGCAATGTACGTAATTGGAAGCACAATAAATTGAACTTCTTCCTTGATCAAAATTTTGTGTAGCGTATTCACAATGAAACCATATGGAGGTTTTGTAATTACACCACAGATCCCTTATATATTGAACGCGTTTTAAAATTCGCCAAATGACATTTTTTTATGTTTACATATCCTGTAAATCTACTTATCTTTCCCAATTCAGACCTTAAAATCTAAAGTCATCTAAATAAATGTACCTAGCTGGCGTCGATAGTTCCTTCTGAAGATCTCTGAACTGCACAGGTAAAAACACCACGTTCTAATTTTCTGGACAGAAGTTTGTAACTAAATCAGTGTATTAAAATCGTAGAGTACAGGGACGTGCAATGCAGTGACTCCTTAGGAGTAAAAATTACGTTTTTAAAGAAAAATTCATTTGGCTTGTGCATGCCTTATATCGTGCCTTTAATAACGAAGAACACGGAAATTAAAACAGCTGAACAGTAAAAACATGAATATAATGATTAAATAATTAATTCATTTGTTTATAGATATGTAACAGCTCGAATGCATGGGTAAGTTGAACCTCCAAAACAACAGCTATGATAGTTTTGATAATTAAGAACGCAGTACACATGCGTCTTAGCGCTGTTTACGTAAGTACATTAAACTAAAACTGCACAAGTGAATTAAACTGAGATTCATATTTCACAAGAAACTGCATGTATATACTCATAAAACTTAATGTGAGTATTTAAACAATGTGCTTTGACTTTATACGTTAGTTAGACTGTCGTCGCTTGATTAAAAGAGGAGAATAAAATGGCATGTCAGATACTATGTGAACACTGACTGTGTCCCTGTTGACTTATGCAGATGAAGGAGTTATGTAATATATACAGTGTGATATTAATAAGGGTACACTCTGATGTCATAATAGAATTCTGAGCCATCTTGTTCTAAATTATACTAGGATGCTGGTAATACGTGAAACGGAAAAAATCACGGCGTTTCGACCTTACACTAATATTTCTTCAGGTGAACTAATTTTAAATTGTCACTGGTATCACGTGGTGACAGTGTAGTTGGGATCAAAACACACTCGGGGATTATCCAGGAAGACGCGCAAGATTTGGCTACGTTATGTAGATGACACTTTTGTTATTATGTGAATTGAACACTTTCTTCGGGTACATGTATACCAGTGAGGTGGATAGCAACATTGAACTTACACAGGAGTAATGTCACAGCAATACTTGTACTGTCCCGTTTCCAGCCTGTCACGTCTCACTTGTTAACCTTCGGAAGTTTTAAACAAAAGCTGGTTTGAAAACGCAACAACTGACAGATAAAGTAAACTTAATAATGGCCCGTGCCTTTGTAAAACAAATAAATCACTTTCTACTTGAGAAGAATCACACTATTTACAATTGATAAACGTTTCTGTAATTAAAATAAAACTGGAAATTAGTATCACGAAAACAGTATCACGAAAACATGATTCATGGCAATGGTGCTGGTAATAACGCAAGTGATAATAAACAAAATAGAGAAAGTAAACCGCCAGTGATTATATCTCACTACACTTAAGATAAATATAAGTTCATTTAAATTCATTTTAGAGGAAGTAGCGTTCTTCGCCTTTTATTCACTGTTCTGTTTCTGCCCACTGATTCTTATAAGAAATCTCGGGACACCTCGCTATGTCCACGATATTTTATGTATTTGCATACATTTGTTTATAAATTGACTCTTTAAAATAGATCCACGGGCATGGTCAATCGGGCAAAACCATGACTGGGTATCTTACCTTTCATTTTTGAGTAGATAAACGCATTACTAATATTTATGCATGTAGGATGTCACTGTCGCTTGCACTTTCGTCACAATCTTAGACTATTTAATTCCAACCGAGTTCCACCGAAGAGTCGAGTTCTCGATCCTGCTGAAATCCTAGTGCTGCTTAACTTGTGCTCGTGGTGAGTATCTGAACTATAAAGCTTAGAGTATTACTTGTTTGTAACTTCTCTTTATTGGAAAATCTTTGGCAGATTTTAAGTATTCGTAATCATATCTTGTGTCAGTTTTATCTAACAGCTAATGTTTTGTAAATATTTCTGGGGAATGGATGGACAATCCACTTTCCTATGGAATAGTTCATTTGTCTAAGCATGCACGGAGTTTCCCCAGTAGGTCTTAAGCTTAAACGTATTTATTTGAACTATTACAGAAACAGTCTCTCTCTCTCTCTCACACACACACACACACACACACACACACACACACAGTATAGATAAGAAATCTGCTTTGCACCACTGAAGCCACTAGAGTACATTGAATTATACCTATAGTAGAAATA